CATCTAGTCCACCCTCAGGCTTCCCCTTAATGACATGACCCTACTAGGTTCATGTCATTAACGGGAAGCCTTGCCTGACCCTCACTTCCCAGCACTGTCGGATCCAAGCGAAAGCGAACTGACAACCATGAGACATTCATCAGAGAGCAGCTCGAGTTGCAGAAGCAGGGTGTGGAGCAGCAGACTTTGCTGGCGACCGGACTGACCGGTCTTGTGAAGAGGATACAGTCCTCAATTGTGGGACAAATGCATCCGAGGTCCACGCTGAGTGTTCGAGAGAACGAAGATGCACTTACTCTTTTTGATCAATTGCGCAAAGCCAGGCAGAATGTTCGAGAAGCGCAGGAGTGCAGTGACCGTGATATGGAGCGCAGGGCCTTACGTATACGGCGCAAGGTGGAATTGGACTTGGACGGGCTCGACCAGGATGAAGGTGACACAGATTCGGCGGATCCGGTCTACACTCAACCATCGACAAGTGGCCGGAATTAGAGTAGCGCTGTCGCCAAAAGCTACGAATATCATAAAAAGACTTTTTGCCTATGCTTTCAGCAAAACGAATTGCGATTGCAAGCTGCAAGCGCGGATTGCACTCGATGCGTCGCAGTCAGCATGCAATCTGCGCAACGCCTGCGATGAGAGGAAGGGTTGCGAAAGTAAACGTCAAGCGCGCCGTAAGCCGAATGAGCCAGAAGGGTGGCTTCAATCGCAACGTTTTCAAGCACGTGTAGCTTCAGTTGAGCAACTCTTCACCCGCCTGTGTCTCCAACATCGTCACCAATCCCAATCTGGCTGCACTACACTTCAGTACTGAAGTCAATACAGTACTGTATTGCCGCCAGATTGGGTGGGCTGCGTTTTTGGACCACGGTCGAGAGGCGCGCGCCTCTTGACCGTTGTCCGAAAACGCAGCCTCCAATGACAGTGGCGCCGGCAGAGGTTTCGTGGCGAGCTGCCGCATGAACGGCCGCGCCGGCAGGGGGGAGGGCTGGGGGCTGCGGGGGGAGGGGGCTGCTGGACCGGGAGCAGGAGGCTGGCGGACAGGGCTCACCACCATCGACAAACTCGCGGGCGGGTGGCGGGTGGCGGATCGGATGTTTCCAAAAAGGCGTGGCGCACGTCCGGGACGGCGGGGTTTCTACGGCTCGCGGTGCGTGCTCTACGGGAGCTCTCGCGACGATGCGCGCGGGACAGCGTGTAGGAGAACGGGTACCGACCGGTGTCGGTATACGTAACAACCCGGAGGGAGATCCGGTAGGGGTGATCGGACGATACTGGAAAGGCAGCGGATAACTCAGCTTGTACACGGGGTGCACGTACCGCCACGGGTGACAGGTGGCGGCGGAATGGCCACGTGTACCGCCGTACGTATAACGTCCCTATAGGGTACAGTAGACTAGAAGGTCCTACTGTAGGGGCGTAGAAATTAGTGTAATAGGAGTGTCAGCCGGGGGAGTCCTAGCTAGCACACGTGGTGCGCGCTCTGCCTGCGAGTACAGGTGGCAGGAGTACAGCCACGTGTGCTGCTGTACAGATTACTCCCCGGTGGAGTACAGTAGAGGTACTCCACTGTAGTGATCCAAAGTAGAAGTGGATCACTACTGTACTGCCCGGCCGCCGGAGGTCGACGTACTTAGGGGCCGAGGCAGCACGCCCCCAGAGTAAAGGGGGCAGCGACCACCTTTGGCGAGAACTGAGGAAAAAAAGGCAGATCGTCCCGTGCGGGTTATTCTTGAGGGCTGGAAGCACACGCTCCCCAGTTTGTTCGTTCCACCGCCTGGTGAAAGCGTATGCCCATTGAGCCCTATCCCCTCCGGGGTCGCAATTCCACTCGCCCGTTTACCGGAGTCATAACCGCCGCCGTCGCAGAGAGGTTGGTGGTGTTGTAATTTTACCGCTGCCGTGGACACCCCCTCCGTGACGGGGTAAAAATCGAACCGTAAGGATCCATATTATTACACAGCGGGCGTGCGCGGCATAGACGCAGGGGGGCGGGGCGGCGTGGCGGTGGGCGGGTCGGTCAGCAGACCGGGGGGCGGGGCGGGCCGGTGTGGAAGGCGTGGGTTGGTGTTGAGGGCGTGTGTGGAGGGCTCGGGACGGGTGTGGAAGGCGCGGGGTTTATGGCGGGGCGTCCCCAGTTGGACGGCCCGGCAGGAAGACAAGCGAGAGCAGCTGAAACGACTCGACCCACGGCTTGTCCTTGTTGGCGGCGTTCTTCTTCGAGCTCGGGTACGTCTTGTCCAGGCAGTCCTCCTTCACGCGCCACGGCCGGGTCACCTTGCCGTCCTTGTTCCGCTTGTACGACGCCACGATCTCGCACATCGCTGGGGGCCGCTTGCGACGCGGCGCTCAATCAAGGAAGGGGGAGCACACGCGCGGACGCACGTCGTGAAATTGCACGCGGCGCGTTGGCAAACAAACCGGGACACAAACTGCGCAAGCAACCGCTACGCCCTATAACCATTACGCCACTCCCGCCCTCCCCCGCCGCGCCCTCTCTCTTTTTATACGCCGCGGCTGCTCATCATACGTGCGCCCGCGCCGTGCACCGCGCTCTCGCGCACCCGCGCAGCGCCTTTACGCGCCGCCGCCCCAGCTGGGGGGTGGTGGCGGGCGGCGGTGGCGGGCGGCGCAGGAGCGCTTCGCACAGGCGCTGTTCGCGATGGACAGCTTTTGACAGGAAAAGAAAGCGGATTGCGGGAGAGAGGAGGATAGCAGCCGAGAAGTTAGAGAAACGGAAGTCTACCTTCCGCGGTGATATTTCCGTCGTCTTGTCTCTGCATTTATGCGCTCCTAACACACACACGTCATGACGTGTGTGTGTTAGGCGCGCGGAAGTCTGCACTGTTCACATTGCAGATGCCGGGCCTCGAACTGTTTGCGTCAGGGCCAGTCCGGGATGCTCTATATCAAAAGGTGTCGAACATTGTGATGACCGGCTACACAACAGTGCGCGCCCTCAACAAGGTGAAGATTTTAAAGACAGAAAATATGAAAAACGGGATCCCCTCAAATTGTTCTAAGCAAAGTGCATTGCTTTTAACGGCAGTGCACTTGGCTCACAAATAACCATTACCACTTTCCCAACAACTTCCTTCCCAAAACTGCATTGATGTCTCCACCGCCCGCAACTCCAGCACCATCGCCCGTTACAATCTGGCGGCGGCCCCCTCAGCGCCGCGGGGTAGTCGTCTATAAGCGCACCCTCCAGGTGCCGTAGCGCCCGCAGCGACATCGGGGCGGGCAGGTTCTTTTACAGCCGCGGTTCGGCTTCCTACAGGCCCTGTTCGTCCCCGAGGCATGCCGTGGCGGCGTCCTGTAGGCGCCTTACCACGCATAGCTGGGGCTATGAGTCGACGACTACTATCTTTATTTCGTCCGTCCCCAACAGGACTGTTTCGCCTCGCAATACAGCCACGACCTTCCCCCAAGCGCGTTTCGAAACACAACCACGGCCTTTTCCTCCCGTACCTCGCGTAAGGCTTTCCACCCCACCACTGAATGCGCCCACCTTGCGCGTGAGTCCACCGTTGCTGTTTCACCGCCCTCTTCGAGCACCGCGCTGCCAATGTATGGGCGAGACTAAACGCCGCCACCAAGGCATGAACGGGAGCAAGCGCCGCCGCGCGATGGAAGAGCTGGAGCGCCTCCTTTCATGCGTTCTCGCTCAAGCCGTTCAAAATATCTACGTGTATCGAGCTACCCTTACCGTGCAAACGACCCGGGCAACGCCCTGTATCACCCCTGCCCTGCTCGAACACCAGCCTTTATCCCACCCTGAAATTAGCCTTTCTTGCCACCCTCGCCACCACCTGCCCCTCCATTGCCCGATCTTCTCACAGCGCCCCGTTTCCTCAGCGGCCGCTGCCCTGATCCTTCCGACGGCAAACATTAAAATCTCCGGTTTTCAATCCACGTCCCATCCAACTCCTTCGCTCCCCTCTTGTCCCAAATGGAACGCAAATATCAGCACGCGGAATGAAGCAATAATAAAGTAAGTTCGCCACGCTTTGGCGCGATCGAAGAAGCAGTGGTGGCAAAGTGCTTTTATTTCCCTAGACTGGAGGTCTCCTTATGCCCTTATCTTTAACAACCAGCAGTAGGCTGTCGCGTTTTTTGATCTGGTTGCTGCTGCCCAACGTGCGGAACAGTCTTCACTTTGCGAAAAATTATTTGCTTGCTGCACACGCATATGGAGTCGATGCCAACGAACTGTGTCTCGGTACACAGTTCTAAATTCCTCGCTTCGCAACCAGCCATGGAGAGAGTCCACAGAGGAGCGATTATCGATGGAAAAAGTTGTGTAAGAGCATACAAACCTTAACACATTTTACAGGCTTTCGCACGCCGAACTGCAGAGGTGTCTGCAAAATTAGCCATTTTGCACAGAGTATCCCAAATGCTTGCTCGACATGGTTCCTCAGTTGCGATAATACGTAGTTGAACCCGCTTTCGTCTTCCCCGCACTCACTTTTCGGAAAGTTAGTAATTAAAAATTCCGTACACTTGTAGGCTTCGTCATCCACAATCCAGAACTCTGATATCATATTTCTGTTCATCTCAATATACCGCCAGAGTTTTGAGGCCCTGTACGCAACTGAATCATTTGTCGAGCCGGGAAAAAGGCATGAAAAGAACGTGAACCTGTATCTTGAATCTACAAGAGCCTGAACATTGACAGCGTAGAACCCCTTGCGGCAAAAAAATTCAGCGTCAGGAATCTCTTTGGGCTTGCGTATTTTTATCGCAATTCCATCTATTGCCCCAATACACCCGTTTAAAGGGTTTGGTTTTTTCTAGAAAGCTTGTATTCCTTAACATACTGATGTAGCTCATCCCTCGAACTTGGAAAGCTGGGAATGACAAAACATGTGAAAACATTTCAAGCCCCTCATTAAAGATAAGGTCCACAGTGCTTCGCTTGACGCCGAAAAAGCCCACAAGATCCCACGGTTTGGCACCTGCCAATACACGTAGCACAACTACTAGCCGTACCCCACAGAGATCGTATAACGACGTGACCTTAATCCAGCGTTGACGTCCTTTTTCCAGAAAGGTCTGACTTTATGTGCAAGCTTTTCGAAAGCTGCTCGTGACATACGAAATGCTCCCATAAAATCCTTGTCGCTGAAAAAAGAGGTAACGGAATAGAACGTCATATACTGACCGATAGGGCGGGAGGGAACCTTGTGCCCCGGCGTCCGACGCTTTCGGATTGGCAATGGAGGGAAAAAGTGGTTGAAGCAATGGCGCCACAGAACGCGAGAACGGAAAATGCATACAGGTGTTTGTTCGATGTCGCTACGGCCTGCTGGCCATCACGATACATGGTCGATAAATATGGAAATCGATCTGTGTGTATCATGTGGTAGGGTTCAAAACCTGGAGGGATGAGCAGAATTGAGGAGACTGTAGACGGCCGTCGAACAGTTTCAATCGAAACTTTAACATTGCTGTGAAACTTGTGATCTGTAGAGCTTGATCGCTCATGAGGCTACTTTGAGCAAGCCCTTTGGGTTCGCTCAAGTAGCCCTTGACAGAGAGTGGGAGTTCAAAGGGTGTGCAACTGTGACTGTCGTACAGTCCGTCTTTCATCCTGAAAAGGAATAGGAGAACAGGCTACGTATCTACTGTGTAGACTCGCTTGGTCTGGAAGAGTTCTACGCTGTGCTTCTGAAGGAGCTTCGGGCATTCGCAAGTCACGTGCAATTTGCAGCGAGCCTCGAGAATTTATTGAATGTTTAACAAGATTGGCCAATAAAGATGTATGTGATGGCAGTACCAAATTTTTTTGCTCACGTCTTGCACAGTATGGACAGACCCTAAGTATGAATACACCCCAGAAAACTTCATTGCTGGGCCATTGTGAAAGCTTGTATAAAACAGGACACGTTGCCTTACTGTATTTGGCACGCTGAATACACCGCAAAAGACCGTACCGTTTTAAACGATCTCGATTGGGTGAGCTGCAATCGTTAGGAACACTAAATATGGGTGCCATTAAGTATAAACGACAACACGTATTCTCCCGCGCAAAACTCCTTTCCCCTGCAACTCTTGACCTCGGAGCGCCCTCACACCTTCAATTGGAGGGGTGCTAAGCTCTCGTGAGGGCACAAAGTTTCAAAGCCCACTCAAATCATCCCAATCATGCCGCGCGGGAAGGTTCTAACTTCCGAGGAACGCGGGCTAGTTACCGGTCTTCACGAGGCTGGTAAGTCAATCCGCACCATAGCCCAGCGCCTCAGTCGCTCGAGAACCGCCGTGCGCAACTTTTTGAAATCACCAGAGCGCTATGGCACGAAAAACGCGGTGGTAGACCACCAACACTCGCGGTCCAGGCCAAAAGAACGCTGCCCAGGGAAGCTCACAGGGGTGAACTGAGCTCCGGTGAGCTCGTGAAAGCTCTCAATCTTCCTGTGAAAGCAAGTCAAGTGCGCGCAATCCTGGACAACACTCCTACGTGGCGCTACCAGGGCTTCCAGAGGGCACCAATGATGCTTCCACTCAATCGCACGGCACGAGAGGCCTGGACAAGATCACATGTGACTTGAAACATTCCAGACTGGGCAAATGTCGTCTGGTTCGACGAAATGAAGTTGAATCTCGACGGACGAGACGTCTTTGCTTATCATTGGCGTGATCTAAGGAAGGTTAGGGCTGGCTATCTTTTCAAAGAGGCAACAAGGTGGTCAGTCTGTCATGTTTTGGGGGGCGTTTGCAGGCACGAAAAGGTGTGAACTGGTAGCTCTGGAGGGAAAGCAGAATCAAGACAAGTACATAAACACATTGGAGAGTTTCTTACTCCCCTTTGTGGAGCAAGAGTTAGGGCTGTCCTATGTCTTTATGCAAGATGGGGCAGCGGTGCACAGGGCTCAGCACGTATACCAATGGTTTGATGAAGAGGAGATTGTGGTCATGGACTGGCCAGCAAAGTCCCCCGATCTCAAACCTGTTGAGAACCTTTGGGGGATCCTCGCTCGCTAGGTTTACGGTAACCAACGTCAATTTTCTAATGTCAACGGCCTCGTGTCTTGTGTGTTGGAGGCATGGGATGCAATTCCAGGACAGACGCCGCAAAACCTTGTATCTTCAATGCATAACCCGCTGTTTTCAGTGCGCAATGGCCAAAGGCGGCCCTACAAAGTACTGAGCGATGGTTATTAGCATAAACATGTGTGACACATGGGTGCCATTATGTATAAACGACAACCGTTGTCGTTTATACATAATGGCACCCATATTTAGTGTTACAAGTGATTGCAGCTCAGCCAATCGAGTTCGATTAAAATGGTCTTCTGCATTGCTTTCGGCGAGCCAAATACAGTAAAGCAACGTGTCCTGTTTTATACAAGCTTTCACCATGGCCCAGCTATGAAGCTTTCTGGGGTGTTTTTATACTTAATGGCAGCACTGTACACCGATAACAGGATTTAGTATGGGCTAGACCAATTTACAGGCCTAATTTCGGCACCTTGGAACATAAATTAGCGTGCCCTACTCTAATTTGGGTACCCCACTATATACAGTCCGGGAAAATGGATTGGCCCATATTTCGGCAAAAGTCACCGAACTGATATTGTACAGTACTGTGGGACACCGCCCTGTCTTTAAATAAGTTAATCCATGTGGAACTGATATTAATGCCATTCTAATTTCGTACTAAGCAAATGTCTACACTAATTTTGCCCCAGACTAAATCGTGTTACCGGGTGTACTATTCGCTAGTTTAGGATATCAATTTGACGTTATTTCTTAACTAGATTCCTCCGGTTGGTCTTGATACAGTGAATAGTGTTGAAGAAACAAGATT